TAGCAAAGATGGATTTCATCCATTTTCCTAAAAAAAAATTTTAGAAATATCTGCAGTACTTAGCAGGCATTCAACAAATTTTTGCTGAATGAATGAAGAAATACATAATGGCTCTGAAGAAATGATAGCAATGTTATGTTAAGGAAAAATATGATTATGTGGAGCATTATTTATAGATATAGACTCTTCCATAAATGTAAGATCATTACAGCTTTATAAATAGGAATCCTCTAATGTCATAAACCCATCAGTGTATATAATAAACAAAGCCTTTTGGAGGATTTATGTCCAAGGTCAGCTTCAAATAGAACCTTGGACCACACCTTTTCTTGCTGGATTATCTTTATAATACTATCACAATGTTTTTGTTTGTTTTAAGAATGATTTGAACATAGGATTTATTTGGCAAGTCTCATGTACTGGGCATGATTGAGGTTCAGCAAAAGTTGACTTCTTCACCCTAAGCTTTTACTTCAAGATGGTGTTTTATAATATCAAGAATATCTATCTATCGTCTATCTATCTATCAATCATCTATCTATCTATCTGTCTATCTATCGATCTATCTATCTATCTATCTATCTATCATCTATCTATTTATCTACCTAAATGGCTAAGCGACTGTCCAACCATCCAACTGGTAGCTATGACGTGCAATGACCACCAGGGGCAGATACTCTGACCAGTAGCTATGATGTGCACTGACCACCATGGGGCAGACACTCAACGCAGGAGCTGCAAAGGTACGGTGACTTGGCAGCAGTAGTTCTTGAGTGATGCACCCCAGAACCAGAGAGGAGGGAGCCCAATTCCAGGATGCATCATCCAAGAACTGCCCTCTTGCAATCTAGGATCCCTTGGGGGATGTTGAAGAGCCGGTTTTGGCCTGATCCCTGCAGGCCAGGCCGAGGGGCCCCACTTGCTGGAGGGACGCCCGCTCACTCCGCAGATGCCCTTTGAGCCAAGCCGTGTTGCCTCCCCCGGTGCTGCCGGCTGGGGAGGGACTGCGGGAGGTTGGCTCCAGGGCGTGTCCAGCCCGTCTCACCCGTCCTGTCCCACCAGCCACCTTCTAATTAATTTCCTTTCAATGTGCATGAATCTGTGCACCAGGCACTAGTATTAATATAATATTGCTATATTGACATTGGCTTTCTTGTGGTAATGTTAGAGTCGAAGAGCATCAGAGTTCAGACACACCTGGCTTTGATGTAATGAAAATGCTCATGGCCTTGTTTCTGTTGGTGGAGAATGTATTCTTTCTCTGAGGAAATCCTAACACAGTGACTCATAATTTCTAAACAGAATTATATTTTCTGATGTTCTGAGTCATGTCCTATTTAAGAGATCACACTTGTGCTTATAATGAAGCACTGATCAATATGAAATAAAAATGTAAGTAGAACTGGTACCAGGACTTTATTCAGCATTTCACTAGATACAAAGAAACTTTTTCTTACATTAAGAACATGATCTTATTTTAAAAAATCACATTTGCTAAACAGAATTGTTGGCATGTAGTTTCTTTACACCACATTTACCCAAGTATCAATGACCAGACCCTAAAAAGAGAAGGCACAGATCCGTCTCCCTCTGGTGAATTTCTGGTATCTAGTGGAGGAAATGTCACCAGCTCTGCAAACCCCCGTCCTTTGGAAATGAAGCAAACCCACACAAATGTTGCAGGTGGGGCCATGTGGTGGAAATGCTGTATTATAGGATTCGAATTTTCTTACCACTTACGGGAATTTCAAGAGAGGAGGTAGGTACTAAAACTGTTCCAAAATTCCATCCACCTTCAGACCATGTCAAGGATTTGCTGTTGGATACAACAGTACTTGAAAACTCTATTTTGGGAATTCCACCACGGTTTTATTCTCTGCAATGGGCCCAAGATCTCCCTGTTCTTACTCTGGGGTGTCTTGGGTTTTCAATTCCTCAGAAAAAGTGCTGGTTGTTATAATTTGCTTTGGCAAGTCTCTTTGTTGAGTGCTGACGCCATTGTCCTGGCCACCCATCTGCTGCCCAACCCCCACCCAGTCTCCTGAGGAGGCGCCAACAGGACTGTGTCCATCTCTCAGACCCTCTCTCTTCTTCCAACAGTCAAGAAAGTGTTACCTCTCTCTCTTTTAAAAAAAGGAGAAAAAAAAAGAGGAGAGAGAGATTGAATTTTCAAAGAAATCCTGGTACTGAGTTAGAAGGTGACACTGCTCTCCAGAGGCATTTTCCTGTGTGGGTGTTTTTGTTGTTGTTGTTGTCGTCCCAATTACTGGGGAATGTTATTTAAGGGCGTAATGGGAGGCACTCTGCACCTCACAACAGGCCAGTGAAGGGAAATTTTGAATGTGGTGGCATTAAACTTTTAAAGGTACATACTTAATTATTTTATCTATTTTCGAGTTGGTCCTTCATAAAGCATTTGTGGGACTTGGCATGAATCAAGATTTTCCTTAATGGAGGGCATTAGGACTACTAATTTTCATGAGGTATCTTAACATGGGGATGTGGAAGGAGGTAGGATTTCACTCCTTTTAGGTAGCCCAGCTGAGAAAGAGAGCCAGGATGGATGATGTTACTAGATAAAGGGGAAAAAATTACAGGAAACCCAGTTAAATTTCAATTTCAGATAAATAGTGAATAATTTTTAAGTATGTCTCATGAAATATTTGGGACATTCTTATACTAAAAATAGTTATTTTTTATCTGAAAATCAGTACCTCCTATGTTCTGGTACCAGAAGTTCATTAGGTTTTCCACTGGATACAAAGAAATTTTGGGTGTTCTGCATTTTATCTGGCAACCCTAAATATGGAAAAAAAAGGTAATTGAGGATGAAGAAAGAGAGGAAATAAGAAGATTAATATTCCATACCCAGATCCCAGCCAAAGGAAGATTATGGATTTTTTGCTTTGAGCATGAGAACCTGTGCAGATCCTCAGATTAGACATGAGTTTCCTAATATCTACCACACGAGGGTAGATAGCAAAAGGGTGAGAGTGTCACATGCTTCTTTTTTGAAAAGGAAGCCATGTTGGGATCACTGAATGCTGACGGGTCTTGAACGACCCTCAGGGAGCCACGGCAGTTCATCTGAATTGAGAAGATCCCATTTGAAAAAGTAAAGCTTTGGAGAAACAATTTTTCATGGGAAACTTATAAGCAAACTGGGTTCGATGCATAGAACAGCTTTAGAGGTGAACGGTTCTGTTGGTGATAGAAATAAATGGGAATTTAGTCTCATTGTGTGACTATGAGCTTAATCAGTTAATGGACGTTTGCAACTTTTGAGAAGCATCAGATGCTCCACAAGTTGTGGGAACTCAGGTAAGTTCTAAAGTACATTTCTCATATCATTTTTTTAAAAGCCATTTCTAACAAAGACATAATTTCTCTTTAAATTTTAATCCCAAATTGCAGCAACAACAACAAAACGGCAATGAATTAAGGCTGGTCATAGTGTGCCCTTTCCTTTAGGATAACTTTGATTTTCTTTATAAGATATAACACATTTCCACACACATACCACATACCAGCAAATGCTTTTGACTCATACAAATATATATTTAGAACTTACACCTAAAAATAGTCTCACAAATGAAATAAAAATTACACAATTATCAACAGACTCAATCAACACATTTTACAAATTCTACAGGACACTTTATCATTGTCGTTGGGGAAACAAACAATTTAGAGCATTATTTAAAACCGCATGTAACACAGGAGCCACCAATGAGTTATGGCAAATATAGCATTTACACCATTGTGTCACTGAAGTCTATTTGAAAAGACTAAAATGCTGTAAAATAAAATACTTTTAAAAAACCTTGTTTAGCATATCCTGAGGGACACTGTGCAACATTTTCCACGAGCAGTTCAAAGGGCGAGCATTCTACCTATAGAGCTCTTATTGAGTTGTGTGGCCAAAGGTTAGAAGATTTGTGTCCTTGGATCTGAAAAACTGTAGAACTGAAGAATTCACAAAAACATGCATTTCCTGAAGCTTCCAACTTTCCAGACTAACATTCTAACAGGGGAGAACCTGAACAGGTCAGAACCTCAAAGAACATAAAACAAATTTAAGATGAGGACTTGTTTGTAATTTATATTCAAATCCCTGTTCCATTCTCTAGCTTAAAGTATAATTGACAGTGTAGTTAGACTATGACTGCTGGGCATTTCTTATTTATGATCTTCTCATTTTTCATTGGTTTCCTAGTGATTTTTTTCCTCTTGAATATTTAAAAATTTGAATTATGTTTATGCCTACTCATGTAGGAGATGTTGATTTTAAGAGTTAAAATGGCAACAGAATTATGTTGAGTGATTAGAGTACAGTTTCAACTTGAATAGTGTGTGTGTGTGTGTGTGTGTGTGTGTGTGTGTGTGTGTGTGTTTGCATGTGTGGAGATACACAGCATATACATGCCGAACGCTTTATGCACTAATACATTCACTGATAGGTGGCACTTCATGAAAGTGACTTTTCCCAATATGGCTGAAAGTGAATATTGAGGTCATCATACAGAATATCCTAAGGCCTTGAAACAATGCCTCCTCATTCTCTGCATTCACATGATTGTGTAGTAATAAGGGAGACATAAATGATAATGGCAGGAGCATCCCATTTTGGTCCTTCATAATTACAGACAGGAGAGCAAACCAAAAATGACTCTCGTTGCATAAGTTCCCTCATCCATCCCACCCACTCCTTTGACTTCCTGCTGTAGATTAGATGGGAGTTGCATTTTGTTCTGTATTTTTTTGCCTTGAATTTGTGACATAAAGTCTTAAGAAACAAGAAGAACACAAAGTACACCAAGATGTATCGCCTACCATCTTGGGGCCTCTTTGTAGCCCTTTACTCGTAGCTTGTCTAGAAAGACACTGCCCAGCTAAGACTAAGAAGCACAGGCTGAGGGTAAGTTCTGATTGCATATCATTAGCCCTCCCCCCGCCATCTCCCCCCCGCCCCCCCGCCCCCCCAGCATGCTCCCTAAGTGCTCAGGGCAGGGCCAATAAGGAAGACAGCCAAAGGCATCTTCTCTTTCCCCTCCTTTCAAAGAAATCCCTTCTAGTGGACTCTCTACCCAGTTGGAAGACCACAGTTCACTTCTATCTGCTCCCTCCTTTAGAAATTAAGGCAAGTCCCCTTTCTCTCAGTGCTTGCTACATAGCATTGTGTCCACGTGGAAACAGTAACAGTGGCTTGAAGATACCTTTTGTCAAATATATCATTAGTAGCAATAGAGAACTTTCTCCAGTTAAGAAATTGCACAATTAGTCTAATCCTTCAGCAGGTGTTTTTTTTCCAGCACCAAAATGACAAATATAGCAAAGCTTACTCTAAGCAAACTTTATAGGAAAGCATCTAACTTCAAGAAAATACAACACCATTACCTCTATTTTACTAATTTTCATGAATATGTTGAAAGATCTGTTTCCTGTCATATTTATAAGTTAAATCCTGTGTCATTTCAAGTGTGCTTGGCTGAAGATCTTCCTGAGGGATGAACAATGGATAGTCAGCGAGAAAACTTGCCCCAAAAGCAAATTTACGGGACATAAATTTTAATAATCCAGAGTCCTTGAAAAAAGATTCATATTCAATTGCACGTAAGGAACAGGTGAAAGTCACAGGAAGACAATACAACTGCAAAGCAGAAAGAAAACTATATTTGCAAATAATTAAGTCCCAAGTTGGATTATCTTTACAAAAATATTTGAATATGATCAGCTACTCTACTTTCAAAGGTCTTATCATTCTTTTTTATACATTGTTAAGGGTTTCACAGTCTTACAATTAAATTATTTTATATTATCAATATTTTCACTTGAAAAAAAGAATTTGATTGTGTCTGTCCATGCCTGTGTTTGTGTGTATCTTAATCTCTCTGCATAGGAGTGGGTGTGTATTGATATATTGTGTAGGGAAAAACATACACAAGTGGAATGTAGATCAGATCTGCTGCATGTATTTGCATGGTACTTGGTCTATCACATCTACTTACATACTTTTCATAATCATTCTCTTCAGTACAAACAATTTATCTTTCCTGCAATTGCTAATAAATACTATTTTCTGATAATGAATCTTTATAACCATGTAAACAACCCTTCATTATTTATAATCTGGACATACATAATCCTAGAATCAACTCCCTTACCTAGGTCTCAGAGATTTAACCACATGCCTTACCTTTAGATTAATGAGAAGCTGAGAGAACGCTTCTATTTCTGTCGGCTGTGTTTTCCCAGGAAACGATTGATGCATGATTATTTCTAAATATTTAGATAAAATAATTCATAATCCTAAGAATTTCAGCAAATTTTATAAATTTTATAAATGCCTCACTATATTCCTGTGAGGCATATAAAGATTATTGTGCTCTTTTAAGACGATTTTAGCGTTGTCAGATATCATAAAGACAACAAGGAGAAAGCAATACTCATAGCTGCATTATCTTTTTTTTTCTCTGTAGAAACGGTCTGTCAAATGCTGGACACAGAAACTTTTATCTCTATCTCATTCTCAACCCTAGGGGAGGATGGAACCCAGAGGGGTGAGTCTGTGTCAGTTTTCAGTAGAGTCTGCTCAGGTCACACATATTTGAGAATCTGCTAAAGATGGTTCATGGATTCTTGAAACTTCATGGACAGAGTTTCAAAAGCATTGCTTTGAGTCCTTCTGCCACCCTTCCTCCTTTTTCAACTTTAATTAAAAAAAAAAAAAAAGCCTCCAAGTAAAGCTTCTTGAAATATGGTCCTCAAAATCTGGAATTTAGAATTACATATTTAGAAGTCCTAACTTGATAGGAAAGCTTGAACAATCTTTCATTTCTTTCTTCTTCCTTTTCTCTCCTTACCCCCAACCCCTTTTCAATCAAGAGAATTGTCAGGAGAGCGTTTGTAAGAGTTCTTTGCAGAGTTCTCTGATTTTAACACACTCTTCATTCATAATTTTTCATTTACTGAGCATTTGTAGGGCAATGTTACTAGGGGATTCTTGAATTAAATTAGCAACCATCTCTTCCCAGTCCCCCCCATTTAAAGTTGGCACTAGTAGTTCTTCCAAAGAATTATTTACTCTATATTTATAGCTGCCTTAAATAGAAATACAGTGAAACACTATTATTTTTGTATGACACAAAAAAATCACTGATTATGGCCTTCAATATTACTGATGCAGGGAAACTGTTTTGATGCATATTTTCTATGACAAAGAGTTAGCAATGATTGCCCAATTGCAGATGACAACAGAATATTATACCATGTCCCACACAACAAATAAATTTCACTACAACAATGCAATACACATTCTGTTGGGACAGTCAATTGTTTTGAGTCCCATACAGCATCTGATTAAGAAGAGTGAGTAAGGGGGTGGGGTGAAAAGGTTCAGTTAGAAGATACAGAGAGCATAGCAGATCTAGGTTGAAATCAGAAACACAATCAAGTCAACACTTGTGAGTTATACATTACAAAGACTAATTCTGAAAAACAAATGTCACTGGTCTTTTTTTAAATCTCTAACACTAGAAGTAGATTTTGCTCATCCAATGGGAAATGAAATATTTATACTAATGCAGACTATGACAATAACCACTCAAGAAATGGATTTCCCCTTTTCCCACCCACTGCCAGCCCTAATTCCCTCACTCAGTGGAATAGGAAGATCAGAGTGTTTCTAGATAATATGCCTAATACAATGAGTCTTCTCTATCTTATTCATGAATGCTCAAAATGGTACTATCAAGTGTTGGCTTCTCCTTCATCAAAGACATAGTTGAGCTTTATGACAGTGCTGATGAAATCACCAAGTTCTACAAAATCGGCAGTGACAATATTGATGCCGCTCTCTCCTGGTTTCTGCGTGCTGACCCACTGCATCATGGCGGGAAGAGCCCTGAGAAAGGAAAGAAAAAGAGAAGTTGTGGGTTCTTGAGGTTAAAGCATGGAACGAAATACATGTGTATTTCCCTGGGTCTCAGGAAGTATATCTAGTCTATGAACTCAACCCACTGAGGCAAAACTGCGTTGACGGCCTTGAACTACATTAATCTTATGAGTAAAATACCATAAAAATTCTGATCCATATTTTCAGCATACACATTTTTTCTGTTTTACACATAGAGAAGGAGCCAGCTCCTTCTAAAGGAGTATATAATGGATCTAAAGTGCCCAATGCCTTCAGAAAATAGACTGGCAGGTAGAGAAATCTGGTCCCTCATGGCAATAGTTTCAGAAGAGAATTCTATTAAAATGAAAAATCTGGATCCTTAGAGCAGAGACACAAGCATATTCAAGTCATTAGAAAGACAGATGCTGTGGCCATGTGCGTGCAGCCACTCGGGTTTGAAGTCCATTACTTTCTCTCTGGATTTGCTAGAGCAGATGATATATTCCTGTTGCAAATGTAGCATGACGTTGGCATTTTAGGAAAGGCGGATAGTCTTTGGAAAGAATGGTTGTTCAATAGATATGCTCAGGTTGAGAGGTGAGAGGAAGGGGTGGGTAGGAGTGATGCTGAGGCCAACGCTGATTCTGTATTAACCTTAACTGAGTGTCTGGCTCATCAGTTCCTTAGGTGCTGGCGTACCAGGCCAGGGAGGTTCCTGAGCAACCAAACTCCCACCTTAGAACCATGATCATCACAGAAACACCTCCTCAGATCCCTCTGCTACTCAAAGATTAGGGCTCCTGGGCCTGAATTGAAAACAATTAATTGTTATCCCCATGGAGAGACATTAGAACACAAGAGTGCTCTTCCGTGTTTCTAGATAAAATAGATTGCTTTGAGGATTGATGAAACATCCTTTTGGAATAGCTTTTAGTCCTCACGTGAAATACAAGTTTTACATTTAAAATACCATTTCTCTTCACCACCCTATTGCCCGTGACCATGGGCTATGTATATAAGTTATTTGGTTTATCTCTTCTCGTGCCCTCAACCCAACATCAAGGTATGTCAGTCTGTTCCATGCCTTCCTGCTTCAGATCTTATTTTGGAGGAGGGTAAAGAAGAGGGGGGAGACAGCTGTAATATCAAAAATAAAAAATCTCCTACCCAGAATGCTTCAATCACCTCTCAGTGCTTTTAGGATGAAAATAAAAATCCTTAATTAACCTATACGACCCTGAGTAATGGCTATTGATTTCAGAGAGATAGGGAGAGGAAGAGGGAGATAGAAACATCGATGATGAGAATCATTGACCAGCTGCCTCCTGCATGCCCCACACAGGGGATTGAGCCTACAACCTGGGCATGTGCCCTGGTTCATAGGTTGATGTTCATAGGTTGATGGTTGACATTGAGCCACGCTGGCCGGGTGTAAATTTTTTATTTGCCCTCACAAGTTTTGCCCTGTTGGGGGCAACAGTGACATTGAGAATGCATGATTTAGAACAAACTGACAAGTTGAAATTATACTTAGTTGTGATGTTTTTCTATCCAGCTTTCACAATTCCAGTCAAAGTCAGAAAGGGGGCTGGCGAATAAACTTGGTACACAAAGCCTCGAAGCCCTCCTCTGGAATGTGGAACTCACCTGAGGAAAGGCATCTTCAAATAGATTCCAGGCCTCTTAGAAGAGAAACAAGTAAGTCTACAGGAGTCAGAAAATCTCCCTCCAAGAAAGCAACAGGAGGTGAGAGATGTGGGAGCCAGAGATCTTCTAATGTTCTGGCTTTGAGAACTGGCTTTGAAAAGATTTAGGCGTTGCAAGTGCTGAGATCAGTAGCCCTCAATGTGCTGACCTGGACTGATTAATTTATGTCGGGGTCATGAGATTAATTCAGTCTCCTACCCAGAATGCTTCAATCACCTCTCAGTGCTTTTAGGATGAAAACAAAAAGCCTTCACTAACCTATAGGGCTCTGAATAATGGTTACCAGTGGCTTCTCTTGTGTTGTCTCCAGTCACTCTCTCTATTACCAAGTTCTAGTCACACCCCAGTCTTGCTCATCTTGAGCAGCCTAATTTTCCTCAGGGAACTTTGTAAATGCTGCTGTTATTTGTTTGCTTTGCTTTCTGCTTACTCATAAAGGGTGGTTTTCTTCCCCGCCCCTTCACTGGATCACTCACTCATCTTTCAAGTGATATTTTAAATGTCACTTTTTCAAAACACTAGTCAGAATTGTAATTACATTGATGTGTTTGACAGATATCTGTTCCTCAACTAGACTGCAATCTCTTTGAGCACCAGGCTGTGTACTTTCTCAGTGGTGTATTCCCCGTCCTTAGCATAGTGCCTGGCACGCTAAGCACTCAACGAATACATGTTGAATACATGTTGAATACATGAACAGGGTTTACTTTTAGAGACAAAAGCTTTATTTTCAGAATAGAATATATGCAGTAATATAATTCATGAAAAGGCTACTTTGTCTTCCTTACTGTGGCTACTGCCATAGATTTCTGTTCATGAATTCACTGCTACTTGTTTGAAAAAAATGTTTGTTTGTTTTTAAACTAACTTGAAAAATTTTAACTTTTCTATATTTGGCAGGTTTCACTTGCAAATTTTTGAATTCACCAAACAATTTGCAAAGCAACTTTCCCCACATTATATATCTAGTGCCATGAGATTATGTGTTAATGATAATGATAGCATTTTCATCACCTTCATCACATTAAGTTTATTAGATTTAAACTTAATTAATCAGATTTAATTTAGTTGTTATCAATTTTAATTATTAAATATCATTACATAATTCAATTATATTTACATGTATTAGACACTAATAAGGAATCCATGTGAAATTCATATTTAGGTGTGCCTGTGGTATACATAACACTTTTACAATGAATGCATTTTATATATGCTACTTTTCTAACTTCCTTACACTTGTGTTTTGTAGTAATGAATAAACAATTGTAGATAATAAAACATCTTTTAGCAAATTTTATTTGAATGCACTTATTTATTTTTTAAAATATGTTTTTTAAATTGATTTTTGGGAGAGAGAGGGGAAGGGAGAAGGATAGAGACATAGAAACATTGATGCAAGAGGGGAACATTGATCTGCTGCCTCCTACACGCCCCCTACTGGGGATCGAGCTCAAAACCCAGGCATATGCCCTGACAGGGAATTGAACTAGGGACCTCTTGGTTCATAGGTTGACACTCAACCACTGAGCCGCACCCACTGGGCTGAAAGCATTCTTTTTTTTTTTTTTTAGTGAATGAAATAGACTCTTCAAAATCAACTCATTCATTTTTACCGACCTCTTTGAGGCACTGGGGATAAAGATGACTATGAAAGCATCAGAGCCTTATTACTGCTTGTCCTGAACCCAGCCTCTCTGCGAAATGGAGACTTCATTGATCAACAAAGTTTAAAATAATGACCATAGATCTTTCTTACCCCTGAACAACTGAGTCAGCCAGGAGCAACTAATTGAAACCAAACCTGACATATTTTAAAATGTGATTTCCTGTCAATCTGGCCATTTCTGAAAGTTGGGAACTTTCACCAGAAAATGAAGAAAAAGACAAAATGAAAAGGAACTCTTGTCCCAAAGATTGGCATTTCGTGCACCGACGCATCCAGCAATAAAAAGCAGTGCCCTTGCACCTGTAGGTTTAACCCTGGAGGGGCTTCACAACAGCCTCAGGTAGACAGGCACATGATGTCAGAAATCATAATTTCTGCAAACATAGCCTATCAAGTTTTGCCAACACTGTTTCTGATCAGGAAGCTGTATATCTGATTCATGTCTGATGAAAAAAAGCTCATTTAAAAATATACATCTTTTTCCCCTCAAATTGCCCTTAGACAAAGAATTAAGTCATGAAAAATCTGCAAAACAATGGCCTATCCAGCAACTGTGGAGATTTTAGACCTGTGCTCTCCTGAAAGGAAACTAAAGCCCTCCCAAGACTTCCTATGACCTGCGCCATGTGCTTTCAAAACTAAATCACTACAACTATTTAGGTGTAAAACAGATAATCTGAATTTTCACTCTGTAGCTGTGAGGGAGAGAAATCCTTGTCTGCTTGACTTTCCCAGATTCTCTGCTCCAATCAAGTTCCAACTCCATGTGTAGCTTGATAAAGACATCTGCTGAACACGTGTTTATAAGGCACCTCTCTGTGCTGCACAGTGTTCTGTGTGCTGAGGGCTTGATGAGCGCAGAAACAGAAGAAGCCCTTGCCCTCCTGGTACCTGCAGTCCAGGAGGGGAGAGAGAAATTTATTAAAACCACCAAAACGATCACACCAACTTTACTGGTGCTGAGGGAGAATCTGGTCCGGACTGTAGCAGTGGGTTTTATTTGTAATCCCGAGTCCCAATGTCCCCTAAAGTAAAATTAGGAATGATAACACTCAGAGGTGGACATGGCCACACAGAAGGCACTGATATCTGGGTATTATTCACATGTCAGGTCCAGAGTTCATCATAAAGGCTTGGCCACAGCCTTGAGTACAGACATGTCCCTGGAGTCACGAGAGCTGCTGTCCCACCAGGATTACTGGCACGGGAATGACTAACCTTCGCCATCACCCTCACCATGCCAGCTGCTTTAGGTTGGCAAAGGGATACATTTCAAATCCTCAGAAGCCCACAGGCACTGTTTCACCTCCTTCCCATGCCTGGCAGGCTGTTAGTCTATTTTATTTCTGTGTTTGTTTAACAAAAAGCAATGCAGTCAAATCAAAATGGAAACAAAAGACACTGTCCCTCTCCTTTGGTGGTGGCAACACGAGCCCTTTTGACTGAGGCATGGAAGAAAATCGTTAAAAAATCCACTTTCAATTAAAATAAGATCACCTAAACTCCAGGAAAAATGGTGTTTAGCGTTCATAAGATGTCCTGTGCCCTAGCGTGCATCCGGTGCTCCCAGCCAATGTTGCAGAATAAGCCCTAGACGGTGAGGAGACAGTGTGTGCTCTGAGCCAGCCCT